TATTTCCAACCTATGTGTGCACCTTAACAATGAAAAAAAAAAAAAGCTAGATGTAAAACTGTACTACCAAATTAATTAGGCTGATTAACTTGCAGGTGACAGATTACCTGAACACAGCATCCTTCTTGAGCACCTAATTTCAACAATTAGCAGGTTGCTTTACTTGTGGGGACACATTCACTGCTGAGCCGCCAACAGCTATTAGCATAAATCAGTTATTGTCTCCCAACAAATAATGCAGACGGCACCCTCTTAAAACTCTTGTGTTCATTAATTTTATCATTACACCAGCCTCAACAGATCTACTCGTTCCCGTGCGGGTGATGGATGTGGTCACTGCTAAACCACATTCATCTTGCCCCGCCGTTTCTCGTACAGATCGAAGCCTTGATAAGCTGGAATTCCAGCCTGTTTATTAATAGAAGTGAAACATATGTGCTATGCAGATTACATTGTCTCAAGTATGCAAGTGTGCTGCTCACCTTGTTTGGCTCTGCAAGATATCCTGTCAGGCTGCAGGATGTATCCTTCTGTGCAGCTGCATCTGTATGACCCGTAGGTGTTCGTGCAGGTTTGGCTGCATGCACCATACATGGCACATTCATCATGATCTTATGGAAAAAAAGGAAGAGAGTCATTTGTAACAAATTAGGTGTTCTCAAACATGACCCAAATACATAAAGTAATGCTAATGTGGCTTCAGTCTGGCACCTAAGGTATAATTACTTCTGTTACCAATAAGCCATCTTTGGAGTCGTAATACCCATTGAACTACTCTTTAGTACATCTTTTCCAACTGGATAAAATTCAGGAAGTTCAGCTACTTTGGTACACTTCCTCCATCAGCATAATCATGCCACTATAATTTATATCTTCAGCATGAGTTATGTGCAAAGTCACCTCTTCGTGTAGCCTCTGACATATGTGAAGAGCATTTAAAGAGAAACAAATGCATAGACAAGCTGTATGCCGTATAAATATGTGCATGAATGTGTATGTGGTTTGGTGTGGAAACGTTGCGTGCAAGCGGCTCTCCCTGCAGACAGTTGGCTCTCACGTAGTCTGCAACTCCTACTTATTCATATGAAAGAAATCTGGATGAGGGAAAAGGGAAGGAATGTTGTTGGCAGATTGGATTTGGGGTATGGTTGGGTTCTGGGTTTAGTGGAGAGGGTTCCATGGTGTGAAGGGCCCCATCGGCTATAGAGATTCTTACCTCTGCAGCTTGTTCCATCCTCACCGACCTCAAAGCCGTCGGCACAGAAACAGAAGGTGCCGTTTCTCGTCATGACACAGCCGTAGCGGCACCGGAGCTCGTGGCAGGCTGACAGAAGCTCTACAATTGAAAAGAGATGGAGTTAGGAAAATTACTTTTCTGCTTTACAAAAATATGCCTGGTTTCCCTCTTTCCCTCCTAAATACTTCAGTCTCATTTAGCAAAAAAACAACAACAAAAAAGCCAAGCTCATTAAGTTCATTTATTGAAAAAGAAGTGAGCAAAAGACAAATTGTGTTTATTTCTGTTAATTTTGAAGATTATGTCCTGCAGCTAATAAAACCAAAAATTTGGTTATTTAGACAAAATTACACAGGACAAAAAAGTTTGTCTTTTTTTATACAGAAAATCTGTGGTAAAGTGTTGGTCACCACAATCACATGGAAACCTGCTCACAGACAGTAACTGACACAATATGCAAAGAGAGTAAGACATAAAATATAAAGAAGCTGGTTGCTGTTTTCAACCATGTTGGAGAAATGAGAACAGGGCAAAGGTGGGGTAGAAAAGGGTCAGAAGCCATGACAATGTCCTCTGCAAGAAGAAAATTGTGAAGCAAAACCCATTTAAATGTTTAGGGCTAAATCAGAAGCCGTGGCCTTAGCCTGGAATCAGTGCTTTATTAATATATCTGTTATATTCCTCACGTTCAGCCACTCTTAAACCAGTGATATTCTGATTTGTCGAGATGGCTCCGTAACTACAAGAAAATTAAATTGCAGAGTATTAATATTTTTCATGCAAATGTCAAGTATGGAATCAATACAGTTAGAAAATGCATAACAACGGAAAGAAATGTCATCCCCATTAAATGTTCAACAGTCAGTGGAAAAAAGTTTCAATAATCCCAAAGTGCAGGCTTTATAACTTATATTAATATGTCAGTCAGCTGTCTAGGTCGTCTAAGCAGCACAATTAAAACTTTTTTACCAACATTGCATTGTCAAATCTTCATCTGACAGACTGAATGATGGTGTAATACTCCATAGGAATTACCAACATTTCATTTTAGGTGTATTTTCAGAATACTGTAATTCGGGGGGATATTGTTCTGCAAACACAAGAACATCTAATTGTGGAATGAAGAATATGTCGTAGAACAAATCAATACGTGGAACAAAAGAGCAAATTAGTCTCAAAACAATGCTTTAACTACACAAAGGCGGCTGAACTTTCATTAATGTCATCATCCAGCTCAGTGGAGACAGCTGCATATCAATTTTTCCATGATCTTTCCAGTTGCTCTATCTAAAGAAATTAATGAAATGTCACAGCGGTAGATCAATGTATTTCATGACAGGCTGCGGTTACACTCAAAGTGATACAAGAAAAAGGCAATCACAAGTCTAGTCATTATTATACAGTGGATCATTTTTTTTCATTCAATTTTATTCTTAGCAGTTGAATTGTGTGCTGCTAGTTATTAATTGTCACCGTTTTCATTATAGGCTACAATATGTTTTGACTAACTACTACATGAAGATGAATGATGTGTTGCTTGGAGTAGGCTGATTAATTCTAGTATATACAGAAACCAATTTGAAGACTTGGAAATATTAAAACCAGTTTAACAGTCTCCAATGAAATGGTGACCTGTATGAAAACATCTAAATGATAGGTTGTTATAGAGACTGTTCTCTCCAAGAGATTTGTCTACCTCACTTAAATACTTGGTGTGCATGGTAGTTAATTCAGTTAAAGTTGGCTTTAACATTAATGCCATTTTAAAACATGGTACAAGACTCAATATTTAGAGCACAAGGACGAGACTAGAAGACAGCTTGACAATATTGTGAAGGAAAAAAAAAACAAAAAATTCTTACTATTCTGTTTTCACCAATAGAGTAAAAGTTTTATGAATAAGACTATGTTTCAAAGAATCGGCAATAACTGCAGAATAATCCCATGCAAGTTTGAGTGTTTCAGGGTCAGAATACTTTTCAATCCAAAGGAGCTTTTGACCTTGCTGTTAAAAAAAATATTTTATTTTATTTTTTTCTCAGGCCCCAAAAACCATGTGACTGCTTTTATGGTAGAATGAAAAATGGTATTATTTCAAAGACAGAAAGTTTTAGAAAAAGAGAATTTAAGTATATTTTTGAATTTAAAATGTAGGTGGAAAAGAAGCAAAGAGTTTGTGAACTAATGACAAAAATATTCCTTGTACCCGTAGGGCCATCTTGTTTTGTTGTGTTTATAACTGATAAATGGCTTGTGGTTTGTATATTTGTCAAATTCTAATGTGTTCCAATTGCCTAAAATTAATTGAAAAAAAAAACCCCTCTACATTTGAATTTCTTTTTTTCCCTCATAGGTACAAGGTTTATTAAATATAAAACTAACACAGCAAAACACTGTTCAGTGTGGAACAATTAAGTTTAGGTTGGATCAGTTAAAGTATTTTAAAATGTTAATCAAAGTTCAGTTCAGACACATTGGAATCATGAAAATGGCCAGTATTTTTGTGAGGACAGAAAACTCCTAATAAAGTCCCAAATTTACTGTTGTTAGTGACTAACAGTCATTTTCAAAGGGCTTCACAATCAGTGATGTCTTGTCATTTTTCTAGTCAGTAAAATCCAAAATTCTCCCACAAAAACAGCAAATGGTACAAGCTTCTTCATCCTGATGTGGGGCATCCTCTTTAGTCAATGCTGCCAACACAAGACAACAACTCAAGACAATTTTTTCTTAATAAAAAAAGAAAAAGAAAAAATCAATTCATAGCCATTATAGCATATAAAGCTAAAAGACATCACACACTGACAGTATCTAGATGGCAAAATAATTACTTTAATTTGGCAAAAATATTGTGATGTAGCAAGGATATACGTAAAGTAATGAATTAATAATTAAAAGTTTCCAGACTTTAAACAATAAAGTAGAAATGCAAAGCAATGCTTCAGTTATATTTATTTTATTGGTAACAATAATTCAGACACCAGTAATATTGTGGAAAACAATTTTTGCCCTACTAAATAAAATGTACACACATTAAAGGTCTGATTTCTTTTTTTTTTTTTTTCCGCATTACTGAGTGTGAGATTGTGCTATTGCTATAAACAAAGTCTTTCTGCACACCTTCTCCACGTAGTCAAATGAATGCAGAGGTAACTGTTGTGAAACAATATCAGTCTCAGAGTGAAATGCTTTTAAGATGGCTTGGAAGGAACAGCAGGGGGCAAAGCTCTGTGTACTTTGACTGTTGTGCTGTCAGAGAGGTTTTGATGGACAAAGAGTTGTGTGTGAAATGACAGGGCTTTCATTTCTGGTACAAATGTGTCTTCTGTATGACAGAGAGTAAGAAAACACCAAAAAACTAAAATGTAAATGCCCAGTAACCTTTCAACTACAATGGCTGGAGAGGCTGCTTTGACATTTATGTATTAATACGTCTCCTCTGCTCCTGTGTTGAAAAGATGATTTTAGTCGAAAATACCTGAAGCTTGATGTACTTGAAAGAGAACGTTGAGAAAAAATATTCCTAAACGATATACTGCTGGTGCTTTGCACATACAGGATATGCTGCATTAATCATGTCATGGCTCTTCTAAATGAATAAGTACCTTCAAAGAGCACAACCACCCAATGAAAAACGTATGTTTTGAATTAATTTGTTTTAAACAATGTTTACAATTTAACACAGTAATCTTAAGTTGTTTTAGGATTGTGTAAAGATAATTCCTGATTAAGGCAACAGAAAAATCCACAGTTCAAGGAGAAATTGTTTAATCTATTGAAATATATTTATATTAAATTCCTGATCAGGCTACATGAATATTATGTCAGTGCAAATAAGAGTACCCTGGTTTTCTTTTCCTCTTTTGTAGATATTAAAGCACCACTATTTGAACTGTTTATTCACATGAATAATGGAAGATTTTGAGTCACAGCTCTGCATGTTGCCTCAATTGAACATAAGTAAAAATAGAAACACGTTTACAGCTATGGTATTCCTGCTGTGCTATCAGTAGCGTGCAAACAAGCCTTCAAACAGTTTTCAAAAGGTCTCAGATTTATTAGTTGTTAAGTACCAGTTCATGTTTTAAACCCTAATGGTTATGGTTGTGCAGTCTGGGGCTTCATTTTTTTCCAGAAAGATAAAAGTACACTCAGCCTCAAATTGAACTAAAATTAAATATTTTTGACTTGGTGAACAGACGACCAGGATTGGAAGCCACATTTTAATTTTGAGTTTTAGTCATTTTGATTCCTACTGTGCTAAGTGATTCTTGAGTCATTATTTTAAATTGATCATTTTTTAATGGTAATTGAAGTCAACCTGTATTTTAAGAAAAAGAAACATGCAGGCTTCACACAGAACGGGTTACAAATTAAGTCAAACACCTCAGGAGCAGCAGTGTCTTTGATTAAACTAACAATTCAAACCAGGAACAAAATAAATAAATAAATAAATAAAAATGAAACAGGAAGTATGATCACAGCTTAATAAAGAAAAGCAAAAATGAATAAAAGCAATTTGTTTTTTCACCTGTTAATATTTCTGTGAGAATCTAAATAGACCTAAGATACTGATTATATGTTAAAAAATGAGAAAGACAGAATTTTCTAAGCTCATCACCAAAGGTAAATTAACAAAGTACCAGTTGAAACATCCAGAAGACCAGCTTTTAGAAGACGTAAAACCAATGAAGATATTTCCATTGATTACCAGGAAAGACGATTTTCAGCATACCGTTCTTAAAATGAAATCCAAATAAAAACAGGGAAAATATATGTTAAAAAATGTCTCTCCTTGTACACCGACCATGAACATCTTTGGCAAATACAAATAAGTTTTAGTCTAAATCTTACAAAGATATGAAGAATTTGGGTTAATTATGGGCTGGTATTTGAAAAGATAAATGGGCCCATTTCATCTGAACCTGAATGCTATAGTTTCTTTGGTTTTCTGGTAAAAAAAAATAAATTAATAGGGGATTAGTCCTGGCATTAGTTGGAGTAGATTTTAAATGAAAAAACTCCCAGTCTTGCTTAACTATGGTCTTAATTACTTACTCAGAGCCATAAATTATGCTCTAAATTACTCCAATTTATAA